AAAATTATGCAAAGTTCACGGGCATTCAAAATCATAAAATTGCATTCCAAATTGATCATTATTCCGACCTCCAAGCGTCGTTCTTGAAGCAAGCTTATGCCCACCAATTTTTAAGTATCCACCAATTTAACCTTAAGCACACGAAACAATTTTTTACATAGGGTCAGTTTATGTATCCCATCTACGGTTATCCAGGATCTCAATTAAGCGCTGCATTCTGGAAGGTTTTAAATTGAGGCGCGCGTGTCCAGGCAAGGAGAGGACGTGAGCACTGGAATTCTTGTGGCCAAAAGTGCCGAGTCATCGCCGTTTAGCAGAAGTCAACTGAGCCAACCTTGCGTCACTGGCCGGCCAGGCTCGGCAGGCCGTGGCACCATTTCGTAACTAGGCCTTTTACAGCGACGTATTTACCAGCTTTCGGCCTCCTAAGCCCATGAGAAGAGGTAGGATAGGTCTTTTGATGGCGACGTATTAACTAACTTGTCGGCGCTAAACCTGAAGTGGAAGTTTAAATTCATTTTTCCGGACTAACGTTTGTATCAGATTTTGGTTGCTAACCCCAACATAAAGAGTTAAATTCGTCTTTCCGGTCCAACGTTTGTAATCAATTTTGGTTGTTAAACCCAAAATAAAGGATTAAATTCGTCTTTCCGATCCAACTTTTGTTATCAATTTTGGTTGCTAAACCCAACATTAAGAGTTAGATTCGTTTTTCCGGTTCAAGGTTTGTACCAGACTTGGTGGCTGAGCTCGATACAAAAGGTTAGATACGTTTTTCCTGGCCATCTCATTTACCAGATTTTGAAGGCTAGCCCAGTTAATGGACTGATTACATCCTTATTGGCTGAATTATTTTACGTATTCAAGAACTTTTTGCTATAGTCCACGTATAATGGGTTGGATACGTCTTATTTAGCTGACGTATCTACCAGCATACGCGTGGCAATTCACGTATAAAGGAAGGTTGAAATGTCCATGAGCCAAAGCTCCTTATTAAGTATTGGACACGTTTTCTTTATCTGAATCGTGCTCATTCGAATAAACGTTAAATTTAAAAATTGTTTCATTGATTCATTGTGAAAAATATTATATTTTGGCCCTCCGTTGGGATGACACAAATGCTTTCAACTTCTGAAAGAATAGAAGAGATGACTTTTGCATTGGCAGCACAGAGACACACAAGCTTCCAATTGTTACTCTAGGCATGAGCTGCCACCTGAACTGTAAACCAACCTTTTGACAACCTTATTTTATTTCTGAACTTCAACGGCATGTGCCCTGTGTCCATTTAGAGATTTTAAAAATAGGCTCACTGCGAATTGATGACAGTGATTTGTAGCAGTTACCGCTTGCGTCTCGCGCGAAGAACACGTAAGGGAACAAGTTTAGGACAATGCTACATAAATTCCTCACAGTGTACATTTCGTTCTAAAAAGTGCGTCAGAGCGACAACATTAACATTTAATTTAACTGCCGCATTGCCTAATGGAGTTGCCTGCTCTTCAGCAAAAAATAGACGAATTATTCTAGGTCATTGGGCAGTAAAAATATTTAGTTTGACTGTACGAAAAGGATGGGAAGACTTACGGACATATTTTTGTCTTAACTTAGGTGTTTGCAATGTACTGTCCCATCAGTAATGATGTATTTGTCTTTTCATGTCAACAAATTAATGTGTCTTGATTGGGCATAAATCACCGCGACCGACATTAATGAAACATATCCATAACGTTAAAATCAAAGTTGCGAACCTTACAAAAATTGTAAAGATAAAGAAACTGAAAAATTCAACAAATAATTTAAGATCAAATAGCTAATGCATGAAATTCAGATCAGGATATTAGCTTCTCAGCTGTCAGCGAGCCAAAACTCGGTATTGTATTTACAACGATATTGTGAGTGCATTCTTGGTCGCGGCCTAGTCTAGAGGGATATATTTTCATGGTTTTATTGCCATTCAGTATCAAAATAATTATAGTGAGACAGACTTACAGTGTCCCTATCGTTTGGTGTGGGATAAAATATCAAGCAGTCATCCTTGCTCTGCGAACTTCTGATAGAACTTAAATTTACGTTGAAAATGTGCTGCGGAAGAAAATCTCTTGGGCGGAGGTAAACATGTCAATATTATTAGCAATATTATTAAGTCGCACGTAGAGGTAAAAAAAACTTACCAATAAATCAAAATAAATAACTATTAATTCCAGGGTTTTTAGTGTCCTGAACTCAAGTTCATGCACATGCAACTTACAAAATATAGTAGTGTATAAATAATAAAAAAATTCATAGTAAGTTTCGTCTCATAGGATTATATTCATCACTTAATTTCGTTGGAAATCGGTTGAATAGTTTCCCCTTCCAACGCCACCAATTACTGTTCCAAAAAATCGTCCGGCAAAAAGCACAAGATTAATTTTCCCTCCTTTTCGCTTCGTGAAAAGGAGGGAAATTTTCCCTCCTTCCCACGAATTTTCCCTCCTCGAATTTTCCCTCCTTCCCAACTGAAGGTCTGAAGTGAGTCGCGATGACCCACCCCAGCGATGGATCTAAATCTTTACCCGCAAGACTTTTTAGAAGTTTCAAGCTTAAGGTCCTCACTCCTCAATAATTACAACATCATGTGGTGAGATAATTGAACTATATTCTAAAAACGAGGCCTGTTTTTAGTACAGCAAAATTCAGTTTGAAATTAGAAGCTAGAAAAAAATCATTCTATGCTCCATTTTATTTAGTAATGGTTTTTAAACCTGTAATTATTTTCAACTGATTTCAATTAACAGTCTTACAGAAGCAGAACAAATCATAATTAGAAGGTTGCTTTATATGCTTTAGAATTGACCACCAACATAGTGTCTCAGGCAGCTTTGTGTTCTCATCAATGGATTATTTTGGGCGTATATGAAAACGCAAGGCAAAAAAATAAATTACCTCTCAAGCTCATTAAAATTTTGCCTTTCCGTTGTCTTTTAAAATGAGTCCCTGTACGACATATTCCCGTTTAAATTAAATTTGCTTCTAAATGAACCAATTATAAGGAATGATGTAAAACTTATGTGCTATACTTGCTTGGAACGGTAAAATAATGTTTCGTTTAAGCACCTTAAGGGATATTCGTATGCAAGCCACGGCTTGTCTAAAACAATAAGATAAATTTAATTTCGTTCTCATGATGGTTTTTAAGATTCCATTTTCCGCCGCCAGGGCTCAGAGTCGCTGTACGTCTCCCAGACAGATTTTATCGCTCACTTAGACTCTTGATGAAGGATAAACACCGCGGCAAATAGACCAGTGATTGCCACAAACTACTAATTGAATACGTCACATACAGCACAACTTATGCGAGCGGCCAAATCAGAAACATTAATACAGGGACCGTTAATTCAGCCGTGATTGCGAATTTGATTTCAGGGTCGATGATCTTGCAGCTCGATTTGCTACCACGTTAGGTTCAAATGACCGATGAATTTCAAAGGTTCCAAGTATTCTTTGAAGTTTTTGACTTCAATTGCCTGAGTTAAATGCTAATTGATTTTATTTAGGGTTTGAAAATTGATATTAAGAATGATTCACGTGTTGCACCATGCGAAAATATTGATTCCAAAATAAAGGTAAGGGTTGACATGAAGGGTCCTGTTTTGCACATCTTCTCATCCACTTTACTGTGTAATTTCATTGTTGGAAATGAAGATCAGAGACTTGCATCGAATCAAGAAAATATTACCTTCATTATTACCTTTGTGCTTCTACCTCATTTTTGGGCACATCGAAAGGGAAATTTATTCCTTCTTAGGCACGATGACGAATGCATTTTGAGCGGCGCTTGTTCCTGATTTTCGGTCGCTTGTTGCTGTCATGGTGTCGTCATCACACAACCCTCGTTAATTTGCCATTCGTAAAATTAGCTGCGAGGACACCGGTTCTCTCATGCTTTATCAACAAAAACTGATCGTCATTTACGCGGGCTCCTTCGTCAGGTTAGTTTCCCACGCCCGATGGAGCTTTTTGTCGCCGGAGCTCCGTTGCAATTACATGATAGACTGATCTGCGGGGACTAAAAAAACATCTTGGTCTTGTAACCTCGTTCTCTGTGTCTGCGGTTGCCTGCATGCACTGTCCCAGTATTTATCCAGAAGCCCTGCTTCATCAAAAGCCTTTTTGGCCTCGTGATTAGTCTGCAGTATTTGTCACAGGCTTGAATTAAAAGCTGCCGAGATAACAAGCCTTGCAGCGGCCGAATATTGTGGCGCGCTGTCTGCTTGAGAAGCCATAGCCTCGCGGCAGAGCACCGGACGACCTCAACGGGAATGGGAAACGAAAGTGGACAGATCTGACGAGCGGACCAAATCTATAATAAATATTACGTTAATGATGACGAATTTGTAGTATCCGCTTACGAAAGATGAACTGTGACCCATGAGGCACCAAATAAACATATGGGAGAACCAGAACAATAAGAAAACATAGATGGAAATATCTGATAAAGATCCATGAAGTAAGATGAATTCTTGAGTAAGTTTAGTTGTATTTTAGTGGTAACAATGTAAACTAATCTGCTTGTATTTTAATGTCAAAAATGTTTTTATCATAATCATGATTTTTCACTCTGTATTACCTAGTGAAGCCTTTCACTCATGTGTTTTACTCATGTCAACTTATGTCTCATGTGTTTTGCTCATGCCATGTCAACTCTTTTACTCATGTGTTTGAGTTGACAAACGAGCCAAAAGTCATAAAAACATATACACACTTGCGGCGCAACGAAGGTGAGAAGTACCTCGAGTTGCACCTGCCGCCCGTAACGCGATAGATGTTTCTGTCATAAATTCCTTATCCTACCTAAGAACTTTTCATCTAATTAACAACAAAGACACAATTTATTTTCCCTTGAATCCACAAGTCGCGTCACTAAATTCCTTCGACTGTAATATGTGCCACGCCAATTAAACTATCCTTAAGCGTTGGGAAAAGGCCTATGAAAGGGTTAAGGTGCGTCCTGCCAGAGCTGCAGGAGGAGAGGCGCGTCCTGCCAGAGCTGCGGGAGGAGAGGTGCGTCCTGCCAGAGCTGCAGGAGGAGAGGCGCGTCCTGCCAGAGCTGCTGGAGGAGAGGTGCGTCCTGCCAGAGCTGCTGGAGGAAAGGTGCGTCCTGCCAGAGCTGCTGGAGGAGAGGTGCGTCCTGCCAGAGCTGCTGGAGAGAGGTGCGTCCTGCCAGAGCTGCTGGAGGAGAGGAGGGGTGAGGTGCAAGCAAAAGTTAAGCGCTGCCATCAAGCATGAGTTACGCGCTGCCATCAAGCACTGGCCGCCATCAACAATGGGTTTTCATTGCTTGCTACCGTCCAGCAGTCACAACTTTAACACGAGGTCAGATTTCTTGCTCGGCGTCGGTAATGGCACAGGGCAAGGAGAGTCCAAGCTCTTCAACTGATGAAAATACATGTGACCTGTCCATTATAATTAACGGTTACGGCAATTCTTGTGCAGAAAAAAAATTATGAGTTATCAGAGGATATTTGGTAAATCAAAGCAGAAAAATCACGTCGAAGGACGATCATGAAACGATGAAACGATTTCAGAGTCTTGCAAAATCTTTCACATTTTACTTGCAAAATTGATTCCCTTGAAAGTGGTTATCCCTGCAGCTATCTTTAAGTCTTTCTAATCTCTTTTAAGTGGAGATAAATCCAGCAATTTAGCCTTCTTTCAACGGATAGGCTGCATGGCGATTGTGTTCGTGACTTACGAAGTTCTTTACGAGGCGCTGCATTTATGAGATTGAAGAGGCCAAAGGCCTTTTACCTTGGATTTGGAGTGCCACAGCGACGCCTTGTTAGTCCCTCTATCTTAGGTCCTTAGTCGACCCGCTCGACTGTGAAATACAAGATTTCAAATATATTATTGCATGCCTGCGCGGCTATAAGTGTAAATTTTCGGATGCAATCACTGACCGCTCGATGGAATCAGAGAGAATTTTACGAGAGTGACGCGAAGGTCTTTGTTCAGGAGAGTGCGTTTATCGTAGCAATGGGCGTCTGATCGCCGTTTGATCGCCGCTCTGTCGACCACAGGTCGGATCAATCCTTGAGATTGATCCTAGAGCCTCGTATAACACCAGAGAAATTCTAATTCGCGTGAGCCTCGGCCTTTTGGACTGTGACTCAATGAAAACTTTATTAAATCCCATCTATGATGGCCTCGAAAAGAAGTCTTGCATATTTAGAGGGGCGTAAGTAAGATATTTGCGCCTTTTCAATGGTGTTTAAAGCAATGCAGTATGATCAATATAAAAATCCATAGTCTCAAGTAGATGTTTTCAAACTCCCATAATGAGCACGAGTTTGTACATAAGGATACTGTATTGGATTGATTCCTTGACTTAACTCATCGTAGCGCGAGAGATTTGTAAGTAGCGAATTAGAAAGTAACTAGTCTAATTCTGAAGGATCTTCCTGACTCGAGAGAGGAGTGCCAATGTCGCTGAGGCCCCGAGAAGCGGCTCTCGATTATTAGTTCAAATGTCATTGGTCTCATTAAGGGAAGTGTTTATGTTGTTGTTGGGCAGCATATTTCTGCGGACCGTAGTTGCGGTGACGACGAGCGATTATGGCCGCGCGAACACACCGAGAGCACTCCAACGACTGCGCTAATTAACGACGGCTCCTAATCGGGATTTTACGCATAATAACAATAGATTTAGTTTTTCTTCGGCTGCTTGTGTTTTACGATGAACTCGCAATCTCCTCGCTACCTCGGAGGCTTTTTTCGTGCTGATCTTCGACAAGGCGACCTCCACTGCGATCGTATTGAAGACATCGCTCGGCTTATATAAACGCTCGTTCATCAGAGCCATGCTTAATGGTAAGTTAATTCTAAATTGCTGTGAACTGAATTGATATGAGTTGCATCGGTAGGGTATGAAGCGGTGGAGGAGTAACTTTTTTATCTGTACTAGGATCAGATTAATTGAAGTGTGTACCTAATTTCATTCAACGTTGCTTAATATAATTCAAATTTGCTCAATTGAATTCTGAGTTGCTTAATTTATTACAATTTTTTTTTTCAACTGAATCTTTGCCTAGGACCGCGTGCATAGTAGGCTGACAGTAAAATATTATTAAGCAAGGTATCTTTTTTGTCTAGCTTATGCCATATAGTGGATTGCGAGTGGATCGATCTCAGGAAATTTCAATAATTAAAAATATAAACAGCGAAACAAGTCTAATATAATGTGTAAATGCAAATAAATAAAAAATAAGAGTAAATGGCGGTAAAACGTCAAGCATTTTGTTGGAAACGCTATGCTTTCCTTCTTTATTTATCTTTGAATCTATATTCTACGAAAAAATTATTGTTGGAAACAGATTTTAGTCTTAATAAAAAAATACCAGTTGATCCAATTACTACGAAGATTATTTATAATCTAATAATCACTCATCCCCGTGTAACAATTTTCAAATTTATCTGCGTGAAATAGTTTGATGGAGCCTGAGCCAAGGAGAGGAAGTGATCGCGACACGTAATAATTTGCAGCTCCGTGAGGTACGAAAGCTTCAATCAGCAATCACTGCGACTGAACCAAAGGGAATGTCAAGGCAGCGGACGTGATTGTTCAGTCGTAAGTGGTATGTCATCCGAACAGCGGATGTGTTAGTTGTTAGCAATAACACATTGGGGGTGTATATCATCTGAATTAATTTCAGGAGCGTACGGCAAGGGAACGAGGCGAAAGGAGTTATAGGGCATGGCAGAGAACGAGTGAAGGAAATAAGTTACCGAAACGCAGTTTATTTGGAAAGAATATGGAGAGAAGAGAAAGATAGAAATGATTAAAATGCAAAGACAGAAATGTGACAGCTGCAGGAGCAGCAGCTACCGAATTTGAAAGAGCTGCAATAAAAGCTATAGTAGCAATAGTAGCAACACTAAAATAACAGCTATACCGACACAAATAGTAGAAGTTATAACAACATTAGAACTATCGACATTCGTCTACATATAAAGTTGCAACGGAAACATTGAACGTTACATTTGCCACACGTGTTGTTCTCGCGCGCTGCATGAGCCTCTAGTCTAAGGGAATGCGAGTGATGAAGTCGATTCTTCTTGCTGAGTGTTGACCGAGCGCCTTCTGATTTGTGGGAAAAATGTTCGAGGTTTGTTTTATCCGGGGGGTCGCTTGGGGGGAAGAACCAGCCAAGGCTTCCTATAAGGAAGGCCTTCAGCGGAATTGACGTGAGGGAGGGGCAGCGGCATAAATTTGTATTTAAAACTTGTACAAAATAAAGGTGGTGATGACGATGAGATAATGTTACTCATTCAATTTTGAGATTCAACATGGTTAACGTTGTGCTACCGTGCGAATCTGGTCTGCGATCGTTCATGGTCTTGTAAGATTGACGCCGTGTAGGTTTCATCATGGAGATACAATATATTTCTCATGAATACCCCCTCATTGAGATAAATATTTATGACAATTCACTAACGAAGTTTAGAACTCAAGCGAGAATATGCGTTTTTAATCGTTACAAGAGGACAAATCGTTTCAGTGTTAGAAGCCACCTCGACAGTCGGTGTACGCTCGAGTTCGATATGCTATTAAATATCTACAAAATAACAAACTTTCAAGCCAGAGAATATTATACTATGAATATACATTCACCTGCTGTCAAGTAAACAAACTTCATAATCTCGTTAATCGGGCGGCGAGAGTTTCTTGCGGCTGGTGGGGTTAGGAACCTGAAGACATAGAATCTCGTGAAGACAGAGCTGGCATGTCTCAATTCTAGGCACTACTTGTATGAAATTGCATAGAAAAAAAGTAGGAAAACGCCCCTGACAGCACCAAGTGATCGCGCTCGGACTTTCATGCTCGCTTTGATTGCGCCGAGCAAATGTTGCCACAGTTACCTCGTCATGCATCAATGTTACTGTCAGGCTCGGCTCGGACGCGCCGTTCTCGCAACAAATGACGGCCATCAGTCAAGAACTCGTGCATCGCTACTGCAGTGCACGCTCGTCCATTTACAACTTGATTCTACCTGCGCTTACGATCGAACGTTTTGGATTTTTCTAGCTGAGGAAAAAGTTACTCTGTTAGTTAACGCTATTTGTCAGCCAATATTTCCTGGACGGAGGGGAAATGACCTCGGGAAAGGTTGCTGGTTTCCTAGAATTTCAGTATTATAAAAAATACATATCGTGTTATGTCTTCTGTTATTACGAGAATTATGCCTACGGGTTCCTAGCTTCTTGATAGCCGGGATGCCACGACATCGAATCATTAACAAAACTTCTGGCCATGAAACAAAAATATTTGGAAATACCACCAATGTTCCAGGAACAACCTGGTTCAAGCATTCAATTATTATTCGACTTCAAACTCGTTATCTTTTATAGAATTATGTGTATTATCATTCCAAAAATTGTTGGTCTGGGCTGGACTGAGAATCGGATTAATTTTTATTTAAATCGACACGATTCCCTCGAACTTGGGACGCCTTAGCCCCTATTTGAGTTGAATTATTTGCACAATATCGATTAAGAGACCAGGTCGTATCTGTTCCGTTATTAGTATGACTGCCTGAGAAAGTCTCTGACTCGATATTTTTCAGCGACTGTCAGAGTCTGGCTTTGGTTTAAAGACGCCTCAGGATTGCTAGCGGCTGGTTTATTTTATTTAACTTCTGCGAATGTAAAAGATTGTCTGCGTGCAAACTGCCAGAGTAGAATAAAGTAGAGCGTGAGGGATTGCGTTCCATTAAATTATCTCAACTTGCGACACGCGCGGCGGCTTGGGGGAAGTAACACTGTAATCAAATGGATATTAAGATAGAAAATAGATCGATAATTATTAAGACAATGCCGAGATTAAAGTTTTAATCCTAGCATTGTTTTGGATTACACTCTACGCGTTAATACTCAAAATTAAACTCCCTGAAACTTTACAACTCTAACTTACTGACGGTGAGTCGTGAGTTGCGTCGATAAGAATGTATCAAAGAGAATCACAGTGTAATATTAATTTTACTTTATTTCATAAAAGGGAAGCGAACAATTTCTACTTATATTTTTTGTTAAGCTGACGTAATTTTTGGTAAGCGGACCCAGGTTTTCAGCTATCAGCGAATAAACAGGAATATTCACCGCTACTGAGCATCATTCATAAGAGTCAAGCTTCCTGCAGCACGCATACTCACCGCCACTGAGCTTCATTCATAAGAGTCAAGCTTCTGCTTCCTGCAGCACGCATACTCACCGCTACTGAGCTTCATTCAGGTGAGTCATGCTTCCTGCAGCACGCATACTCACCTCCACTGAGCATCATTCAGAAGAGTCAAGCTTCCTGCAGCACGCATACTCACCTCCACTGAGCATCATTCAGATGACTTAAGCTTCCTGCAGCACGCATACTCACGGCTACTGAGCTTCATTCATAAGAGTCATGCTTCCTGCAGCACGCATACTCACCTCCACTGAGCATCATTCAGATGACTTAAGCTTCCTGCAGCACGCATACTCACCGCTTCTGAGCATCATTTATATGAGTCATGCTTACTAAAGCACGCATAGCCACCGCTACTGAGCATCATTCAGATGACTTAAGCTTCCTGCAGTACGCATACTCACCGCTACTGAGTTTCATTTATATGAGTCATGCTACCTGCATAACGCACACGCCGGCAGAGATGTCTCTTCCGACACGCCATTGTTTGTGACAATAAAACTGTCAGCAAAGGGAAGACGAAATTGCTTGATGGTTTTGCGTCTCTGTGCATGCCGCCTGCAACATCCCATATTGCGAAGTTATTGACTGCCGGCAGTGTTATTGCTTGTTATTGATGGCGAGACTCTCCCCCAATGACATGGCTGGTTGCAATAACAGTTGTCTGATTTGTTAAGGGAATAATCGTTTCCTTGTACAGCACATGGAAGCCATAAATTTGGTAGGAATGGGCTCGATTCTTCGGATGCAAAGAGAGACGAGAAAAGAATCTTTATTGATCCCTGATTTCGTTTGCTGCATAATTGCATTTATACACGAAACATATTTTGAAACTAAATTATATTTAGAGTATAATACATGTCATTTTAATAATACTTCAGCACTATTTGCTGTGCCTAAAACTGGGTGTTTTTTGTGCTAAATGGGCAAGCGGCGCACAAATTTTTTATCGTTGATTTTATTTATATAAGGGACTGATGGAAGGACAAGTCACTTATAATCAATTTAATTGAGTATTCATCGAAATTTCTTAAGACAAAGTTTATGACTAAAAGTTCACACAATTCTCTTCACTATCAATTGTCAAATAATTCTGCATTTACTGCTACAGAGGACGGGAAAAAACGTTTCGTTGAGTTTCATTCAAGTTTGTTGCATAATTCGAATAATCGGATAATAAAATACGACGGTGATGGTTATTAATACCTAACAATTCTCGAGAAATTTTGCTTAAAGAAAGAGTTCTATCAAGAATAACTTGAACTGAAAGGGAAAGCATTTCACAGCTACAAAAATATGCCCTCTGAATGAATTGAGAGTTGAATTAGGCATTCAATGTGAATATGACATTCAATACCTATAATTTAAACATTCTAGGGCTGAGAGGCTAATTAATTAAATTGGTTCAGATCTGAAATGTGAGCTAGGGTGAAATTTATGCTCCTCCTCTTCGGTTCAGATAATTTGTCTGGTCACAAGTGAGTGCACCATGCAGAAATAACAGAGATTCATAATTAGATTTCATAACACATATCCTGAATAATGAAAAGATAGATAGTCTTTCAAGCGAGGGAACGAGGGAATACAAAACATCTAAAACTCTTAGGACAGACGCATGAATATAGGACAATTATTAACTTTCCTTTCGAATCGAGTGAATATATAGAGCACATTGAACGGCTATGCGTATTTAAAGCAGTTGCATCACATTTGCTTGTCAAGCGCCATCAATGTAAACCAAGGGTTTATATCCAAACGCAAATACAGCGTCATTTATTGTGGATTATGGCAGCTCGCAAATTCTATTACCGTAGACTTCCAATTGTGAACCTCTGGTTTAATTGAGTGCAAAGCATCAATGTCTCGTTTTCATCGAAGTTTATCGAGACCTACAAAGGCAAATGCACTAGCGCTCATAACACCCAAAGATTGGTGTTGAAGTCATCGGATAATAAATAAGTCAAGGCCCTTCAATTTACGATTTTAAGTACCAGAACCTCGTTTCACCTTGAAAGCTTCGCTCTTAATTCATCAGAGTTAATGAAAATCAATTACAAGCTCATTGCCTAGCTTGATTGCCGGACTCGCAGCCGCTACAAGCCTTTTTAGGCGAGCCAGAAGCGCTCTGATGAAGGCATCAGGCTGAGCAATCAGGCGTCAGCGATGCTGCTTGTGAGGCTCGAGTCGTCAGCGATGCTGCTTGTGAGGCTTGAGGCGTCAGCGATGCTGCTTGTGAGGCTCTAGGCGTCAGCGATGCGCCTTGTGAGGCTCGAGGAGTCAGCGATGCTGCTTGTGAGGCTCGAGGCGTCAGCGATGCGCCTTGTGAGGCTCGAGGAGTCAGCGATGCGCCTTGTGAGGCTCGAGGCGTCAGCGATGCTCCTTGTGAGGCTCTAGGCGTCAGCGATGCGCCTTGTGAGGCTCAAGTCGTCAGCGATGCGCCTTGTGAGGCTCGAGGCGTCAGCGATGCGCCTTGTGAGGCTCGAGGCGTCAGCGATGCGCCTTGTGAGGCTCGAGGCGTCAGCGATGCGCCTTGTGAGGCTTGAGGCGTCAGCGGTGCGCCTTGTGAGTCGGTATTTTGTGATAAACGCCTTGAGAGAGGTGCCTTGTGAGAGGCACCTTGTGAGAGACGCCTTGAGAGAGGCGCCTTGTAAAAGGCGCCTTGTGAGAGACGCCTTGAGAGAGGCGTCTTGTGAGAGGCGCCTTGTGATAGACGCCTTGAGAGAGGTGCCTTGTCAGAGGCATCTTGTGAGAGACGCCTTGAGAGAGGCGCCTTGTCAGAGGCACCTTGTGAGAGTCGCTATGAGAGATGTGCCTTGTGAGAATCTTTCATCGTGCCTCGTCAGTAGCTGCCAAAGCAAAATGCTTTCATCAACTGAGGAGCAGGTACCGGTGCTTCTAGGAACTTCATGCATGGACCTTGTGCCTATATTGAGCAGGTAATGTCTGTTTCTTATTAAAAACGAGGCAGCGAACACAAGCTGGTCTTGGAGGGCGGCTAAAGATGTCGCGATTCAAGTTAGTCTGCAACATGACTGGAAAAACGTAAAAGCAATGCTCGTTGAAATCTTCATTTCGAAAAAAAGCCAATAAAACGGTAAAGGTAACGGTCAGTATACGGTAAAATTAGTTTTACCGAATACTAAAAATCAAACACCAGTATTACCTAGGAACTTTAAAAGTGTTTTGAATTCCTGATTTATTTTTATTTGACAATACCTTAACTATAGGTTTTTCGCCGTTTAAAAAATCTGAAAATCATGCGAATTAAAGAAAGATTTGTTTGAACTACCACATAACATGACGGTATAATCAGTCTTCGTTCTCCATTTTTGAATTAATTTCAAAATCCAACTATATAATTTTTAAGTTTAATTCAAATTTTTAAAAATAAGTTGTCAATGATATATTACTTTTAATTAAGAGTTAATTTTTTTGAATTTTTTGATCATACATTGAGAGCCTCTCGAACAACCTTCATACATCAGCAATGCTAGACTTCAACTAAACATAAACACGCTCGTATTCATAAAATAGATTATTCGACTTTTAGTCTTGAGAAAAATCTTATTAAGATGATGTACCTAAACTCATGGAGTTTAAAACAAAATAAGGAATTATATTTGGAAGTTTCCGGCCGGTGCCTCTTGTTGAGCAACATGAGCAGCGAAATCGACATGCACCACGGGCTGGTGTGCAAATTACTAGAGACAAAGCTTCTTTATTTGGCTGTAAATTTGCAGGAAGAAAGACGGGTTTTTACAAGCGTCGAGTCCAACGCACTGCTTGCTGTGCCGCGGCATTATTACCGATAATCAGATTACTGTGCCGCGTTGTAGTTGTAGACCGCAACAAAAGAGGCCAGAGTTGTAGCTGTAGATCGTAACAAAATAGGCCAGAGTTGTAGTTGTAGACCGCAACAAAATAGGCCAGAGTTGTAGTTGTAGACCGCAACAAAATAGGGCAGACTTTTAGTTGTAGGCCACAACAAAACAGGCCAGAGTTGTAGTTGTTGACCGCAACAAAAGAGGCCAGAGTTGTAGTTGTAGAGCGTAACAAAAGAGGCCAGAGTTGTAGTTGTAGACCGCAACAAAACAGGCCAGAGTTGTAGTTATAGACCGCAACAAAACAGGCCAGAGTTGTAGTTGTAGACCGCAACAAAACAGGCCAGAGTTGTAGTTGTAGACCGCAACAAAATAGGCCAGAGTTGTGATCGCGTATTGCCGTAGATGAGGTGAACAAGACTATATTCCAGACCTGGCAGCCAAACGCTGTCATCGCATCCCGTAATGACAGCGTATGTGTCATACGACGCTCCACTTATCAACACTCGGATTTACCAAAAATGGGATCTTTTGCAGGTTCTCACTCGAGAATCGAAAATGTTTAATTGATGCTCTCCTCTACATCCCATTAATGTAGGTAAGTTATCACGTATTCTCTTATTAGTGTTCGAATATTCGTGGAGTTTCAGTAAAACTAACCAAGGTAATTTTACTGGAAATCAGTGAGCAATTTTAAAGTTGACTTTCACTCCCTTCTTTACTTAAATATGAATATTCATTTATGAAAAAAATGTACCTCAGAGGAGCGGCAGTGGAAATTCGTATCTGATGACTATAGTTTTGGCCAAACATTATATATTCCAAAGAAGATATTGCATCGGAAAAATAAAGTGACTGAAGCATATCTGGTCGTCTTTGTAGTACATAAGGTTCTGAAACTGCATCGAAAATCTGAATTATGGAAAAGTGTGGTGTAAAAACAAAAGAATGAATTTGTCAAGACCCCGGTTGCTATGTATGTCTTTTACAATTCTAGCCGGCAGCTATTTCAATCATCAAAATATAAATCCAATCTAGTTCATTTTTTAAACATTGAGCATCGTCCTAATGGGCAACAAGGTAGCGCTTCTCAAAGATTTTGCTACAAGGGATGAGTGGGATTTTGTGTACAAGTTTTACGGACACAAAACATCCACCGTTAACCTTGCAGAGTGAGAATCGCTCTCTGTTATGGCTGCCTCTGGCCATGCTCAGCCAGATCTCATGCAGATGGTTCTGATATTGCATAAAAACTTGCAGAATTCGACGTCTAAGAAATGTTATTCCGAGGAAGACGTTGCGCCGCAGCCATTGTTAATTTCTAAAGGCTCACAGCAGCTGAAAAAATTCATACGCTCGGCCACCTTCACTCGCTCATGGGAAAAAGTTTGAGAGCAATCCCTTAAAATTCTCTCTGATTCTGGAAACTGGAATGATTCTGCTATTTATTCTGACGAGTGAAAACAATTGGCGTGAAATGAAATGTACAGCTTGGCATAAAGTTGAATTATCATATTTATTTAGTAAGAATCTGTAAAAGATTTAAAAAGTTTCTGTGCATATAAATATGTATTGAGGTTTCATAAAAAGCGCGGAAACTGATGGTGCTTTATTTGATGACGGCTAAACTTTGTCAGGTATATAACTTCAATCAAGCTCTACGCATTGTTTTCATGATTGGAATACAACGAGAAAAACCTTAATATTAGTTAATTTTGCTGGTTCTACCGGTCGCGTTCTTTCTCATTCATGCAATTGCAGATAAAAAAATTGGATTTATCTTTGAAGAAGCAATATATTAGTTCTCAAAGATCGCTTGAGTAATAAATATCACTCAACATTAACACTTCAAGAAGTAATTCAATTATTTAAAAAATATTCATACCTATTAAAACTGCATAGATAGTTCTTCCCTGCTCAGTAACTGCCTCAATGTCTGTACAGGTCGGCCTCGAGTTTTGCTGCAAAATTTTAAGCTTTCTATGTCCAGGACCGTGGACCTCAAATACGAATGCAACAGATAATATATACAATTGAAGGTTTGCAATTTGCCTGACGTATCTAACCCGTTTGAATATGCGGCTTTAATTGACTATTAGCCCGTCAAGGCATAGAAGATATTGGTGGTGTTGCTTTCTACTCAATTGGACATTTCCATCTTTGGAATAAAATATTTTGTTCAGCGAGTAAATGTTAAGACGAGCGCGCGACGGTTTGCAGAAAGCGTGATCAAGCGTTGCGTAAGTCCCAGTAATTAACGAAATTTGGCAGGCTGGGGCCATACTTTCAATAAAAGTTAAGAGATCGTAAGTTCATCAACCAATCATTGACGACCTTCCAAGCAAAATCCACCAATCACAGACAAGAAAATAGAGCGTAAGTACGTTCACTTAGCCAGTTTTGAAAGTATGGGCCCTGGTCAGGATCTAAAATTGGTCACTTGAGAACGACGATATTTGCAAATCAGGTTTCCTTTAGACATTTTTTGATAAGTGCAAATTAATCTGGAGCCTCATTAAGGTCGATCACTAATCAGAATACAATCGATGCATTGATAGCTAAATTTTTATGTACTGTTTATGTTGAGATTCCACTGTGCAGACGTTAGAGTTAGTAGCTCATGTAGAACTTGCAAGTCGGTTTGTTGCCATCCTATTTGAACTTCTGGTTACAACACAACTTGAATCAAGTTCATTTTTAAACTATAAAAACTTCGCTTGTCTTTGGCGACATTTCTGTGATATATAACGGAGGAGTATTTAACCCACTTGAATGCATGAAACTATTCATCGAGCTGGCATTTAGTATTTACTTATATTGACTGCGACTGATTCATTTACAAGTCCAGAAATTATTTTACTTTATCATACGATTTTCTTACCATCATCATCTCATTACACGACTTTTTTTGTCAATTCTTTAAATAAAATGATATTCCTTGCATTTTATAGATAGTACGGACAAAATCTTGCAGCTTTTCATTGTTCTCCATTATAAAGATATCTCTTCAAGCTGTTCACACCTTCCTGGCCATTATTTAAATCACTGTGATAAAGTAGCTGATATAAGACAAGTCAGCCACTCGGCCGGAAACTGCCACCAGAAAGTGGGCACGAGTGAGCGATGTCTCAAAGAATATTGCCAGCCCCAGGGTTAGAGGAGTGCCGGCGCAGGAAATTGTCACCGAAGAGTGAGCAGCATTAAAAAGCAAAATAACTTGCCAAATCCATGAAAGAGAGGAGTGCCGCAGCGCCAGTACAGCCGTGTCCCTGATAGCGATGTCTAAAGGAAGCTTCAATTTTGTGTGGTCTCAGAGTTCAGCGCTCGCAAGGGTCATCACACCGAACATGGAGATACATTCACCGCAGAAACACGACTTTTTAGGAAATTTTAATATAAAGTTTACTGCTGCTAGGAAATCCCGTTAATTTGGATGCCCTTGTATAAAACTAATTCCTTTTATTGTACATTAGCATAATTTACACATTGTCCATGGACAACGTGGACAATAAACACTCCATCAAGTTTTTCTTCTCCCACGGGCCCGAAAGATCGGAAAGTGGCGCTAAACACAAGTTGCACCCACGCGGATGCATTTTGTCTAGTCAGCTTGAAATAGAAGTACAATTGATTTTATCGTTGATAATCGTAGTGTGAAGAGGATTTCATTCCATCCCAAATAAAAATTAGGAGTGGAGCACCTATGTTTTAAGGATGGCTAT